AGGGAGCCCCGCCCACACCTGACTCTGGGTTTGAGGTCTTTGAGTCAGCATCACTGATTCGAGTTCAGCATCATGGGCGGGGCTGTGTGCTGCGCTGTATTAGGGCAAGGCTGTGGAGCTACTAAATATTCAGTTTTACACTTGGCGAGACATTTAACATTTACATTTACATTTAGCATTTACATTTAAACTTTGTCACATTTAGCTAAATGTGAGAAAACTAGTGTAAGTGCTATTTTTACAAACGGCACCCCATAGGTCTATATAGGCTTGCATAGGCCTATATATAGGGTTGCGTTGCCAATGCACGCATGTCAATTTTTTTTGTTGCAGTATATTAGCTAAATGATTCTAGTTTCAATTGCATCAGTTTTGGCAGTAAAATATGAAAATTTTGACCTCCGAAGATCATGGGCTACTGCCAGACTATATGTGAAAAGCCCGAACTGAAAAATTTGTATTTTATATCACAGAGTTAGCCGTTTCTCAAGACCCATACGTGATGGAAAAATTTGGAAGTTATTTCTGTGATCAAAGATCATGGGCTACTGCCAGACTATATGTGAAAAGCCCAAACTGAAAAATTTGTATTTTATATCACAAAGTTAGCTGTTTCTCAAGAACCGTGCGTGATGGAAAAATTTTGAAGTTATTTCTGTGATCAGCATCATAAACTATCTGGTACACCAGGAATTATGAAGGAAACAAAAACTTTGTAAACCAGTGTAATTTGAGTTGTTAAAATGGGTGGCACTGCCTTTTACACAACAGTCCAGCAAGCATAATGCTGTCACTACACTTTTACTAAGTATAGCTCCCCAGAAACACAAGAAAGAACAAGTTATTGCAAAACCTGTGGCCTCTTGCAAAGTGTTGACATCTGTAGGTGAGCCCATGCCAGAGAGCAGCAGGATGTAAGTGACGATTTTGCGATACAGAGCATCTAATTCTTCCCTTGTTTTCACTCTGCTATCAGCAATCTCTCTGCTCAGTGGGCTCAGCCTGGACTCCTTCACCTGGTGGATTTCCTCAAGAAACTCACCTACACAAACACAAAGTACCTGCTTAGCCATGATATGTATATACAGAATCTCTTTTTGCATATAAATATGGAGTACTTTTTAAATTATCAATTTTAAATGAATTTAACAAATGATCCACTGCCTTAGTTCTTGTGTCAGGGTCTTGTACATTCTGGCTATGGCGTGAAGTCATGTGTGGCATGTTCAGCATGTGTAGACTCAGCAGAAGTTAAACCTTTAATATACTTCTGAAACAAGACTGAACTAGATTGGTAATTTGATTACTTACATTGAGATTGGATTTTATTTAAGGGGTTTTATGTTATAAAATAACAACTGCACAACTGGCCATATCTGTTTAATAATATTCAAGAATATTTGGCTTGTCAGAGTTTAAAATAAAGGCAATTAGGATGATTGTTCATGTAGTTTTGGACAGTTCTGTGTGTACAGTAGCTATACCAAAGTAGCTGGTATAGCTGCAATATCATCTTGATCAACACCAAGGTATTTGGTTAAAAGTGTTATCTACCCTGAAGGAATTAAGTGTTATGTTTTCAGTCTTTTAGAACCCAAAAGCAGACTCTTGGCCAGGAGATGATGGTGAGAATTTAACTTACTGACACAATGGGCAATGTATAAGTTGACAATGGAAAAAAAAAAAAAAATCAGTAGCTGCAATAGACCAGATAAGGCACAGGTAGGCTATCTTAACTGGACTGCCATTAAATACAGGTAAGTAGAATAAAACCCCTAGGAGGTTTGCAGATAAGTACTGTATTTGCATAGGTGAGTAACAACTCATGGCAGGTCTGCAGGTAAGTACAGTGGTGTGAAAAAGTGTTTGCCCCCTTACTGATTTCTTATCTTTTTGCATGTTTGTCACACTGTAATGTTTCAGATCGTCAAACACATTTATATATTAGTCAAAGATAACACAAGTAAACACATCATGCAGTTTTTAAATGAAGGTTTTTATTATTAAGGGAAAACAAAATCCAAAACTATATAGCCCTGTGTGAACAAGTGTTTGCCCCCTAAACCTAATAACTGGTTGGGCCACCCTTAGCAGCAACAACTGCAATCAAGCATTTTCGATAACTTGCCATGAGTCTTCCACAGCGCTGTGGAGGAATTTTGGCCCACTCATCTTGGCAGAATGGTTGTAAGTCAGCCACATTGGAGGGTTTTCGGGCATGAACCGCCTTTTTAAGGTCATGCCACAGCATCTCAATTGGATTCAGGTCAGGACTTTGACTAGGCCACTCCAAAGTCTTCATTTTGGTTTTCTTTAGCCATTCAGAAGTGGACTTGCTGGTGTGCTTTGGATCATTGTCCTGCTGCAGAACCCAAGTTCGCTTCAGCTTGAGGTCACAAACGGATGGCCGGACATTCTCCTTCAGGATATTGTGGTACACAGCAGAATTCATGGTTCCACTTATCACAGCATGTCTTCCAGGGCCGGAAGCAGCAAAACAGCCCCAGACCAGCCCATTACCACCACCATATTTTACTGTTGGTATGATGTTCTTTTTCTGAAATGCGGTGTTACTTTTACACCACACAATGGGACACACACCTTCCAAAAAGTTCAACTTTTGTCTCGTCTGTCCACAGAGTATTATCCCAAAAGTCTTGGGGATCATCAAGATGTTTTCTGGCAAAACTGAGACGAGCCTTTATGTTCTTTTTGCTCAGCAGTGGTTTTCGTCTTGGAACTCTGCCATGCAAACCATTTTTGCCCAGTCTCTTTCTTATGGTGGAGTCATGAACACTCACCTTAACTGAGGCAAGTGAGGCCTGCAGTTCTTTGGATGTTGTTGTGGGGTCTTTTGTGACCTCTTGGATGAGTTGTCGCTGCGCTCTTGGGGTAATTTTGGTCGGCCGGCCACTCCTGGGAAGGTTCTCCACTGTTCCATGTTTTCGCCATTTGTGGATAATGGCTCTCACTGTGGTTCGCTGCAGTCCCAAAGCTTTAGAAATGGCTTTATAACCTTTTCCAAACTGATAGAGCTCAATTATTCTCTTTCTCATTTGGTTTTAAATTTCTTTGGATCTCGGCATGATGTCTAGCTTTTGAGGATCTTTTGGTCTACTTCACTTTGTCAGGCAGGTCCTATTTAAGTGATTTCTTGATTGCGAACAGGTGTGGCAGTAATCAGGCCTGGGTGTGGCTAGAGAAATTGAACTCAGGTGCGATAAACCAGTGTTTTGACAGGGGGGCAAACACTTGTTCACACAGGGCTATATAGTTTTGGATTTTGTTTTCCCTTAATAATAAAAACCTTCATTTAAAAACTGCATGATGTGTTTACTTGTGTTATCGTTGACTAATATTTAAATTTGTTTGATGATCTGAAACATTACAGTGTGACAAACATGCAAAAAGATAAGAAATCAGTAAGGGGGCAAACACTTTGTCACACCACTGTAGATTTAATTGCAATCACGCAAAATCATCAAGTTATTCTTATTAAATACAACAATCTGTTTGCTTTGTAAAAGTTATTTCAATTCTGCCAGACAAATATTAAATGTGGAGTAAACTCCACATAAAACATTTTAGTGTACTTTTTTCACATACTCAAGTTATCACAGCCATCTGTCCTTATCCTCAAATGTTTGGACTTACCAGCTGAACCAGCAACCGAATAATACAAAAACATGAGAAATTCAACTCTAAGCAGGGCTTAAGTATAATCACAGAACATAAAACAGGTGAGCAACTAAACTCTTAGCAGGTCTAGGGACAAATACATATATACAACACAAAACAGCTAACAAAATAATGGAAGCTCCACCAGAAACTAAACCCATTCAGATATCTCAAACTCGGGTAAGAAATATATTTCCAAACAGGAGTGCCAAGTTGAACAGAGGTGGAAACTAGAAAGCACTCAGAGTGCAAACCTCCACCAAGCGGCAGCTCTGTTTCCCCATAATGCCATAAAAGATAGGTTGACCCTCATAATCTGATTGATTGGCAATGAAAACCTACTGCTGGCATTTGGAATGATGCTGATATCATTATTAGTTTGAAAGTTATTCAGGAAAAACAATAGACATAACAAAAGAGGGAAATCTATTTTAAAAAGACTAACTTTGAAATATACTGATTCAAATTAGCTTGTGAGTGTTGTGTAGTTTGTCCCTCATAGTAGTGGCATGTGGTGACATTTCGAGGTGGAAACATTCAGGGTCACTGTGGAGAGTAGGAGAAATGACAACGACCAAGACCTATTCTCACATACTGTACACAGGGATACATCAATACTGTTTTAACACCAACTTGAAAAATCTTGAACTATTCCTCTCTTTGAGGCATGTGACTTGGTGTTCCTTCTCACATTTGTAAAACAGAAAATAAAATAGATAATTAATGTATAAACCATAGCACTTGGGAATACAAGTGTGTACATTTTCAAAGAGGAAGGTGCACATAGTAAAATGGTCTCTTTCTCTTTTTCCTCTCCTTGCCGCTCTCAGTGCCTCCATGGTGCTGAAACATGCACACCACCGGTTACATTACATCTGTTTTTCTATTCTTATTATTCATATTCTTACCAATACAAATTATAGTGATAAAGTTAAATTGCATGCTTTAATAAATGTTGTATCTTACATTTAGTTTGACTATGAAAAAGTGAGCTACCCTGAAAGCCATGTTATAGTTCGCAGACTGGATGTACTGTAGCTGTCTTCTAACAGAGCTAGCTCAGTCCACTAAAGTACTCACAATTCCAAAAATATAAGAACACATTTGTAAGTTGGCATTACGTGAATAAACTGACATGTTCTCAGTAAGTGGTTACTTTCTCACCTGAAAAAATGTCAAAACATAATAAAATGGCATAATAAAAGTCCCAGGATGAAACTGATAACAGCTTTGAACCTGGCTTCAGATCTCTGTCATCAGGCTCTTGCCTGGCTGTTGCTGCATAGAGTAGATCTTTGCCCAGCTGACCTGTGGTCTCGCTGGGCTCCTTCAGTCCCTGTCTCACACAAAGGGATATACTGAGTGACAGCACTCGGTATCCATTCACAATGAATAGGTAACTGTCACTGTCACCAGGGATTTGTCTCCGCATGTGCTCGGAATGCTCAGCAGTACAGCCGTGGACTTTGACCACAAGGGAGCTCATGTACAGTCAGCAGCCTTTGCAGCACTTACAAAGGTAAAGAATCTTTTAAAACATTCCTGTATTCAAATTATGAAACAAATCAGCACCAAAATAGTTGTTCCATGGGCCATGCAGTTCCAAAAAAGTTCATAAAAATCCAGTTATGAATTTTTGAGTAATGCTGTTAACAAACAAACAAACAAACAAACAAATGCCAGATAAAACATAACCCTGCCCTTGGCAGAGGACACTGAATGACTGGAGCAAATGGTGAATGTCTTTAGCAGAGTAAATAGAAGATGGCTGGGGACTAAGACACTGAGTGACCTGATTACATTAATGAGAAACAGCTGTGTGAAGTGAATGGTCAAGCTAGGGTTGGAAACAAAAAACATCTGAAATTATAGTTATGATAGCAAAAGAAATTCATTTGAAGGTAGTTTTTATTACTTACGTCGAGAAGTATAATTCATATCAAAATAAACTTGCATTTTGATTGTGTCAAGGGATGGGCTACACTTTTCCATGAGTTTATCCAGACACAGCTGAAAGAAATATTGCAGATGGAAATTAGAAAACAGGACTGCAGCTTTTACCAACCATATTAAACATGTCCTTTTTTATTAGAACTGGGCGTTTTATAGGGCAGTTTACCTCCTACTGTTAGAAACCTTCACTTATTTTATGACTAAATATGTTTAAATACGACTACAGAAATGAACTAACAAATTCAGCATTTCTCCATTAGTTTTGTGGAGACAGCTTTTAAATGAAATCTAAATGCTTTAGATCTTCATGTTGCAAAATAAAATTTACAGCCAATAACTAAATAGAACAAAAGTATTTGTAAATGACTGGCTACTGCCCTGACATCTGACATAAAAATAAATATACAAACTTTTCTAAATGTCATAAATATTATGTTTATAGTATAGGCTACTAGCACAGTTTAACAACATCAAAATGAAAACATACTTAGGAACATTTAAGATATGGGTTCATTTCCAAAAATGTATTGCAGAAAGAACTGATAGAGGTGTGTTAAATTAATCTTTAATAAAGTCAAATACAGTAGCTTACCTCCTCAATTTTCTGGACATCTTGTTTGGTCAGTGTTTGGTCAACACTAAACCCATTTCTTGGATCCAGCACAACAGCGTTTACCTGAAGATATTTTTAAGAAGTTTAGAGTCCAGGTCTCTCTTAACTTTCAGTTTCATAGCCTATCATAATTTATAACACATGCTATATTGTATGTTTTCATTAAAAGGGGGTCATTGACATGAAGAAAGTTTAAAATTGCGTTATATCTTTACAGTCTATGTACGAACTGGACTGAAAAATGGCGCATAAACATCTTTTAACAGCTACCGGGACACAAGATGGGCAACTAGCTAGCTTAACGACAGCAGGTTGTTGGTTCAAGTTACTGACCATGAAAGCCACCAAAGTGTCCGACACAACTTGTCCTCCCATAGCACACCCCTGCACTATTTTAATGATAATATTTTTAATCACGGCTTCTGCGTCAGCCAGAGACATTCCTGCCGAGAGGAAGCACGCTACTTATTAGATGGTGTTATCTTAACTGCAGTTACAGACATATGGTACCGATATAGGTCAGGTTAGCTGTAGCCACCAGCTTGTTGATATTGGTTGCCACAGCAACAAGTGTCTCAACCAATCATAAGTGTATTACGTGACACCGTCCACCGGATACAGAAGACCAGGCATACGCAAACGAGCAGGCATATGCTGGTCAACTGTTTTACAGACAAGTCTTTTATCATTGTGTTCTAGGGGGAAAATGCGTTTTCGATCACGTATCCTCACCCCCAGAGCGACGCCCCTACTCACCCCAGTAAACCTCTCAAACTTACCATCCACTGGGGCTCATGTTTGGGTCCTTCACGAGCTCTGGGCGCCACTAGCTGACCAGTCCCTGCAGACACCTACCTGTACTCAGCAAACACGTCTCTGGTGTATTCTGGGAACCAGACCATTGAGATACTTGTAGACAGTAAGTGGGGCCTTAAATTGAATTCTGTATGTAACTGGAAGCCTGTGCAAAAATCTGAGGACCAGAGTAATGTGTTCTCTCTTCTTGCTGTTTGTCAGTATTCTGGCAGCAGCATTTTGAATGAGTTGCCATTGTCTAATGGTCTTATTGGGGAGGCCAATCAGTAGTCTGCCCTACTGTGTTAGTTTTTAGTGTCCTGGACTTAATGCAATCACTGACCACTGGCCTTTTTCTTTATTACTTGAAGCAAATTTTGTTGCATCCAGTTGTTCACTTTTGCAAGTCAAACATAATTTTAAAGGATCATAGTCATTTGGTGACTAAATACCTGGTGTCATCCACACATATTAAAGGGAGTTTTTCCTCCCCACTGTCTGCAAGTGCTTGTCCAAGGGGGATTTGTTGGGTTTTTCCTCTATAATACTTTAAGGTCTAGACCTTACTTATCAAGTACCCCGAGATTTTTGTTAGGAATTGGCACTATACAAACAAAAATGAAATGAAATACAAGTGTTCCTCAGTTAAGATGAATTGATGATCTTTTTAAAATACCACCGACTACCACATTTTTCTTACTCATCACAGGGAGGTAGGGCTTCTTGTTGGTCCCAAACTTACTTAAGCATTTGACAACACATCTTTATAGAATATAGTGGAGAGGCAAGTTCTAGAAGTAACACTTAAGGTACTCTTGAGAATTTTAAGTGGCTTTCTTGCTAATCTACCAAAACGTGTCCCCGATTACCCGTTTTGTAATTTCAAATGCATTTACCTAATCTACTCTGAAGGAAAATAAAGCACTGAACAGATAACAAAACATGATTAAAATATTTATTTTAAGAACCAACATGACAAATAGTACTATTTAGGTGAAAAAATGCTAGACTCAGTCAAGACAAAACTTCAACCTTCAAACTAGAGCCTGTAAACAGAGAGAATAAGCAGTTCATTTCTGCCCTTTCATAATAAATATCAAGTTCACCAATGAAGTCCTCACAGTCACATTTCATGGTGAGCTCCACTTACTATAAGAGCTGAGATTTAGGTCACATGACAACACCATGCATCTAGAGTGCCGTTTTCAAAAATACAAAGAAAAATATGCAGCCAAAGCAGTTCATGCAAAAAGGTGCATCTAAATTACATGTAACAAGTTTCATGCAGTAAAAGTAAAAAAGCAAGAAGTAAACCAAACACCGTATGTATACACAGAGTTGCCAAAAGGTTTTTCACAATTCATGGTGATGAGATAAAATGCAGCAGTTTTGGCAGCACTGGAACACCTTCCACAAAAATAAACACTACAGTGCAAGTGTCAAAAACCACACACAACCAGCATTCTCAGATGAGAAAATGTTTGTTGAAAAAGTGACAAGACAGCACTCAAAAATACTGAAAATGTTAACTTTAGACAACACACACTGTACCTGCAGTAGTAGCATCAGCTTATTAAGACTGAAAAGGCATTACCAGACCCAAATACTGTGCTGTATTTAACAATGTTCACAATGGACTTGGACTTTATTATTACAAAGTATATAAAGACCCTGAGATAGGACTCAGCCAACTCTCTTCTGGAACACAAACTTCATTACCACAAATTCTCACTTCCCCCCTCTCTAGTCTGCATTACTGCAGTAATAGTAAACATCCAGGTACAGTGATTTTTTTTTTTTTGCTGCTGCTGATTTGGGACTCGTGATATTTAACAGAGTATTATGGCCACTGCTAGGAAAAATGACATTTGAAAATAGTTGTAATTTAGCAAAAAAAGAATCAAAACAAGTAATGGCATGAGAAAGCTACATTACTAGAAATGTCAAATGTTAGAAGAAAAATAAATCTGCAGTATTTGGTAGAAGTCATAACACAAACATCTGAAAAAAAGTGAAATTTTGACAAACAGAAGAAGTCTTAAAATGTTCTAAGCAGTAACAGGATTAAAAAAACCATATTATTTTGTGAACTATTTTTTAATCCAACAGTGTATCCAATACTTCATCATCAAGAACATTCAGTGTTGTTATAAATATCCAAGTGGATCAAAGTTTCAAAAATTAATTCAACTTTCAATTGGTCTATCACACCTGTCATTTGCTATGGTAAATTCACTTGAAACTGTTGTATAAACACACAGTAATCCAATATTAGATTAATATATATTTGGAGTCAGCACATTGAGATCATTCCCTGAATTGCTTGTTTTGGAAACAAAGTTAACAGACATCAGTTAAGGACAGATCAACTTCTAGTCCCTGACCCACAAATATTAAATATACTTGTGCTTAAATTCTCAGGACACAAACACTTCCAAAAAGAGTAAACTTCAGACAATAAAAGGTTCTCTAAAGCCAATAACATCAAATGACAGGAATTTTATGTCAAACACCAACAGTCACACATCTCACTAGTTTAAGGCATAAAGTAAGCAGCAGGTCAAAATAAACCTGCTGTAGTCAAGTAGGAGCTTGCTCTAATGACAAGAGTAAAACCGACTCCACAGAAAAACTCATAAGTATTGAAAAGGGGTTATAATAGATCCGACTAATCCATGCTACAGTAAGAGTTTCATGCGCATTGAACTCGATGAAATGAATTTAAGTGGTACATTACATAGAAGTGCATCTTAGAAGCATTTCCTGAAGACAATCTGCGGCCCATGTTCTTCATATTCTTCCCGACTGATCCATGCAGAGCTGAAAGTGGGCAAATTGGCCATTAATGCTCCTCCACGCCACACGGAGAATACTCGATCTATGGGACTGGCGACACAAATGCTCTCCATTAAGTCAGGAGGTACCAGGCTTTTAATTTCAGCCTGGAGCCGCTCAGCCA